AGCCCTTTTGCATTCATCATTAGCATTTTCAAAAGCTAACATTTTTAAGAGATGCTCTTGTAAGTCTTGTCCCACTACTGTTTTTTTTATAACATTTTGAAGTCTTGCAACGAACTCAACATACGGTTCATTGGCTCCTTGCAGAACTTTAGCCCAAGATCCATATTCTGATCCTTTAGGCCGTATTTTATCCCAAGCTTTTAAAGCAATATCTTTTAATTGAGCATGAATCTCTCTTGGAGCTCTTGCCTGATGCTCAACAGTATCAAAGAAACCTGTACCAGAGAGCATGGGATAAGAAATGAGTCTAATATTAGGATCTCGATCGTCAGCATTTTGTCTTGCCTTTTCCGCACAACCTTCCATAAACCACATGTGCCACTGTAAATATTCTGGCTCCTTTAAAAGAATTTTGGCCAAGGCTTTCCAATCATAAGGAGCAAGATTACCATACTGATCTGCTACCGATGTTATTAATTCTCTAGTGTAATGAGCCTGAGGGCCATAAAGGGTTACAGCCTTTTTTAATTTTGCTAAATCATCCATATTAAATGCTTCCCATCTAGGGGGAACTGCCTCTCCATCTATTGGCTGCGGCCTGATTACAGGGAAAGCAAAGGCAGGCTTTTCCTCATCAGAATCCCCTAATTTTGGTAAATCAGCCAAAGCTAGCTTGGCTTTACTCCAATTAGGGTTAGATGGAGGAGGTGCAGAGGGAACTACAGGCGGGTTCTGCTTAACGGAGAGTTGTTTCACCTCTTGTGTTAAATGCTGTATAGCCTGTAAAATTGGGCGATTGTCATAATTTGATATTGCTGCGGCAGCTAAAGCTGAGTCGGCTGTAGTGGATTTTACTTTTAGTTTGGATGCCTTTTCACTACTTAAAGCGATAGCGTCATTTTGAACTACATTCTGCTCCTCCTCTGTGAGGGGCAATTCCTGAATAACTGGCTTAATTTCTAGTTGAAGATTTTCTACAATATGTTCATCTTCCATAGCTTTTAATAAAGAGTACACAACCGACCAAATAGCCCAAAAACGTAAAGGAATCTTCTCCTCCTGTTGCATAGCCCTTTCTATACTAACCCTTGCCTTCCTCCATACTTCTACATCCAAAGTTCCTTCATCTGGAAACCAAGGATTATATTCTTTAATTGTATCAATACACATATCTAAGTCAGCTGACCTGAGCGATATGCCATATATAGATAATAAATGTTTAAGAATTTTTAAGAAAGGAGAGGAAGCAGATTGTCCCATTTCCCCGTAATAAAATTATACTTACCTTCCTAAGCGACCTTCGGAGTCCCTGTTCGGGCGCCACTTGTCGTGAGTGTCTTAGAGCACTCTGAACTCCGGGCAAGGTAAACACGCACACACGCCTGATCGGGACACGGGGGGTACAGTGCTCGGAAAAGAAAGACAGGAGAGACACCTTTACTGTCTGCACCACGTTACACTGCACTGCACGCACAATCTTTATTTTAGGATTCATATATAGTAAACCCGATCAGTTCACAGAGCCCAGATAATTAAGTAGTGAAAAGGCATTCTTTGTGGCAAGCTACAACGTGACAGACTACAATGTTTATTCTAAAGCTATCTAAGTGAAGTAAATAATCACAACCAGTTCTCATAACTTCTCTAGCCCAGGAAGAAATTCATTAGCTCAAGAATGTTGTTAATTTGTCTGCTGTTAGTGTCACAAAGGGTGGCCAGCCACTTCCTCAAGACTTCTGCAAAACAAAGCCAGCTCACAGTATGGATTCCAGAGGGTGAGGGGTCTCACTGAGAACAGGCATTCCTATTCTACCTCCTTCTCGCATACCAGGGCGGCTATTGTAAATTGCAGGTTAGAGGGGGTTGGGCCTACAAAGTGACACCTCATCCCCCACACCTACTGACCGTAGAGGTCGGGATACGATGTCCGCCTTGCAGTCTCATAGCAGCAAGAAATCTGCGCCAGGCTTTCAGTAAGGCAGCAGGGAGATCTGTTTTCCCTTTTCAAAAGACCGCTATGTAGCGGACAGGCCAGGTAAGGAGAGGAGAACTCACAGGGGAGCAGCGATGGCATTTGCTGTGGCTGGCAGAGAGTAAGTGGCACATGTCTGAGATACACCTGACTGGCCATCAAAAGCAGGAAACGGGAGTGCGGAAGATAAACAGTGGGTAAAAAGGAGGTAAGGGATCTTCTGTTAGCGTCCAGGGTGAGGAGCAGCAGGGAGCCGAGCAGGGTGGAGCAGGGGAGAGCTTCCACTTAGAAGGGAGGCAGGTGGAGCTCTCCTTCAGGCGGTGGCCACAGAGCTATGGTGCAGTGTGTCCCTGGAGTGTGATGATGAGATGAATTCTTCCCTGAGTGAGGCACAAGGGTGTTTATGTTAAACAAGGACACAAGTTTTGCTAAAAACAACTGAGCTGTGTCTTGCCTGTTCACTTAGCTGTCTTCAGTGAGCAGTTGTGTTCCTGCGAGTGCCAGGGCTACATAGAACTGCCCAAAACTCTTCTCTGAGGCTGGAGGCAGACTCGTAGATAGCAGATTGCATCCTTCCTGGATACAGTGGTACAGGATGAGCATTCTCATTCCTCAGGGGAAGAGCAGGGAGGTAAATTTGGCCAAAGCAAGGACAAAACCCAGCAGGGCAAACTTCAAGTCCTATAACACCATGGTCTGAGCTCAGAGGCTCAGGCAGCACTGGCCCTCTGGCCTTCCTGGTCACAGCCCATGTGGCCTCTCTCTCAGGCCAGTTTCACTATTCTCAGCATCTCCGGCTTCCCAGGGTCTGCACTGCACATTGGCTCTGCTCTCGGCTTCGTGCATCGCTCGTCTGGGGGTTTCTGGAAAGGACTCCAGCCCTCTGACACATGGCATGGCCTCCCATGCCTTTGAGGTCTACATAGATGCCTCTGGTGACTCCTGCCCCTTGGTATTTTGCATTCCTGCAAAATGAGCACCATGTGGACCACGCTATGATCTGCTGCCAGCACAGATTGCACTTGGGGCCCTTGGAGCGCAGCAGCCTGAGTGCCAGAGCCGAACTTAGGGCCATTGCCCTGAGTAGCCCTGAGGGAGCAGGGTGCCCGAGGACTGTGAGCCTCAAACCTGTGATGTTGGGGTTAGGATGGTTCCTGAATCCCCTCTTTCTTGTCCTGACAGAAGCATTTTCTTTGGTTTTGGTTTGAGACAGGGTCTCTGTAGTTGAGGCTGGCCTCGGACTCACAGCCGTCTTTCTGCCCCAGCCTCCCCGAGCGCTGATGTCTGGAGTCACAAGTGTGTGGCCCCGTGCCTGGCTTGGAGTGCTTGTTTTTCAGGGATGCGGTTCTCTTCAGCAGCCAGACCTCCTGTGGCCACAGTGTACGTCTGCCCCCATTTCTGGCCAAATGAACATTGCTGATCTTTCTGCTCCACTTTGCGCTTCTGATTCTAGGAATACCTAGGACTGACAGATGCAGCCAGGAGCAGGACTTGTCTGAAAATTCTTCTCCAGAACAAGTGGTGCACTGCGTTTAAACTCAAACCCCAGTAGAGCCTCAGGACCTGGGCAGAATATAGACAGTTCTTTCCCAGAATGTAACACAGAATGGGTGTCCCACACGCACTCGTGAGCCTGGCCTTCACTGCCTGTGCTCTCGCCAGTGTCCTGAGCATGAGCTTGCCCCAGAGCTGTGCATCATGCTCTGCTTTTAACGTCCTAAGCTTTCCCTAGCCATTTCAAACAGTTCCATACTGCTCTTAAAAACTCCTCCCGAAGGCTTCTGAAGCACGTGGTCATGCACAGAAGTCCCAGCAATGACCTTTCCTGTTCCATTTTTCTTCTTTAGCTTTTCATCACTGGGGTAAAACACACAGCTCACAGGAGAAGGCATTGGCCCATGGTTTCAGAGGCTGTGTGTGTGGCTGGCCGACTCCAACGCAGAGACTTTATGGCTTGGGGGAGCACAAAGCCGCCGAAGTCGGGCAGCCGGGAGCAAGTGGACTGGGCCAGAAACAAGCCCCAGCGTCACAGCCCTCAACCCACTTTCCAGCTAGCCCGCCCTTCCTGCCGGGAAGGTGAACTCGCTGATGAAGTTAGCGCCCTCCTGCTGACCTCCGCCAGCCAGAGGGAGGGAGGGAGGGAGTACACAGAGCTCTTAAAATGGTGGCAACCAAGCCAGGTGTGGCAGCACACACCTATAATGCCAGCAGTTGGGAAGCTGAGGCAGGAGGATCTCTAGGAATTTGAGACTAATCTAGACTACATAACGAGGTCCTGCCTCAAAAAAAAAAAAAGGTGGCTATTACATTACATGATAAAACTTCAAAGCCAAATGCAGTTTTTTCTCTTAGGAAATGTCTAGGTCTGTGTGAGAAGGAGCAGGTGGCCAAGTAACGGGTTTCTGTGACATGTGCTGCCTTTAGAAGCCATCTTTTGGCAAAACACTGATTGGGGAAATGATCTTGGATAAATCCCGATTATAAAAAAATGCAAAGGAGTTTTATGGCACTGAACAGAAGATTGTAGTAGTTTCAGAGTATGTTTTTGGGTCAGGGATTTAGCTCAGCAGCACAGTGCTTGCCTGGCAAGTGTGAGGTCTGGCACCAAAAATAATAGTAATAATTCTTAGTGTGTTTTTTATGTGAGAGTGTAGAAAACCTTGGCTATATAATTAACAGCAGTTGTCTGTGTGCTAATAGTACAGCTATTTAAACTTAACGGTTTTCTCGTTTGTCCGAACTTTCTCGATAGGTTTCCCTTCTAAGTGGCACAAGGTTTTTAAAGCTTTCCTGGATGCCTTATTTACTTCTAGAATTTCAAATGAAAGTGCCAACAGATATTTAGAAGTAATAACATCCCTGAATAAACTCATAGCTCCCCAAAGGAAATACTGAGAAATATAACTTTGATTTTAGTACTTCAACTCAGATATGACTTTTCAAAGCCATCCTCAAAGTTTTATAGATGAAACATCATGTCCTTGGGTAAAGTCACCAAGCTAAAGATGGCCACCGTTCCATTCCTTAGGACTATCTCATGGCATTGTCTCTGCAACAAGAACAGCAGAACCAGGAGATCAATTGGGAAGAGATCCCAGAAGGGATCAGTGATTTGGAGCTGGCGAAGAAGCTCCAGGAGGAGGAAGACAGACGAGCTTCCCAGTTCTACCAGGAGCAGGAGCGGGCAGCGGCTGCTGCTGTCTCGGCACAGCCCCAGGTGACAGTCACGGTGTGGTTTTTGCATGTGGTGGTCAATTCCATGGTCCAGATATTTCTGGTTAGGGTTATAAAACCATTTCATTTAGGTGCTGACTTTTAAGTTATGTGTATCTGCAAAGAGAAATAAATTCCTCTGAGCAGCGTGCTAGAGGCAGTCTGAGATATTACCGGAGAGAACGCAGACCCTGGAGCCTGAAGATGGTGGGTTTGCATTTCCTGCTTGTTTCTTGTTTCTAATTACAGTGCTTTGGACAGTGCCTGCAGCCTTGTCTCTTGTGTGTGTAAAACAGAATAGACAGGTCAGGTTTGTGGAGAAGAGCAGACGTTAGTACATGGCCCAGTGCAGACGTGTGCCCTGCACCCTGCCTAGGGTAGCTCTCCTCTGCCCGCAACTCACATTTTACACACTGGTTCTTAAACTAGAGGCTTACATGTGATTCTTTTTTTTGGTGGTACTGGGGATGGAACTCATGACCTCGCGCTTGCCAGGCCAGCGCTTATGCCACTGACCTATATCCCCAGCCCCATGTGATTCCATTTATTTAGAATAAATGCATTAGTTACTTAGCATGTGTCCAGTGGAGGTAATTAGGCAAATACACATTAAATTAATAAATCTAGGGCCAACTGTGGTGTTGTGTGCCTGTAATCCCTGCACTCAGGAGGCTGAGGCAAGAGGATTGTTGTGAGTTTGAGGCCAACCTGAATTGCAAAGTGTGACCCTCTCTCCCCCTCCAAAATATTTTTGTTATTAGCTTCTTTTCTCATAGTGATGTCCTTCCCTGTTGAGGCTTCTTGCCTGAGTTGTGACCGAGCACCTCAGAAGGATGGTGTGATTTCTTCCTGTGTGTTTTCTTAAAGGGCCAGTCGGCTCAAGCTTCTCCATCAAGTGGAAGACAGCCTGCGATTAGTGACCGGAAACGGAAGGAACCTCGAGAAAAAGATAAAGAAAAGGAAAAGGAAAAAACCAACTGTGTCATTTTGTAACAAGTAGTGGATTCTAAAGGAACCACCTGCAGTAGGTGTCTTGAGAGACAAAACCACAGAGGGCAAGGAACAAACCCGATAAATACCGTCTGTGCCTGATTTCCCGTGGGTCTCTGGCCTGTGCTTCAGGGGAACAGTTGTTACTGTGTTACAATCAGACTTTTTAAGTCACAACACTTCTGAGCTGGAGTTTCCTGTTACAAGGTGGAAATGCTGTGTGCTGTCATTTATGAAAAATACTGCACTTGCAGCCAAGTAAGAAAATCACAGCAAACTCTGTGTCACAGTGACATTCATAATTCTTATCAGTTAGTAAGCTATTTTATCTTCTGTTCTAACAGTAAGTGGAGGTAATTTAGTCAGATTCCTTCCCAAAATTTAAATATTAGCACAATAATTTCTCAGACTTTTATAATGTTAAATTATGATCTAATCCATGAAAATCCAGGGGTTTAATATAGAGATTTTTTAAAAAAGGACAAAAAATAGCAGGAATAAATAATCCTTAATTGTATATTGGACTAGTTCAGCCCTTGAACAGCTTTGCCTTTCTTTAGTAATGTACATTTTAGACCTTATTGTGAGAACTGAGGCTGGAGCTTCGAAACATTTAGATAGAAAAAGACTTGTATTTGTTTTCCAGTAACAAAGATTTGCGTAACACTAATACTTCTAACCTGTCCACATACGGTCTTATGACTTTGTAGGGTTGTGAGATTTTAAGGAGTTCTGGAGTCTTCAGTAGGTCAGGTCAGCTGGACTCCAGCTGAGGTTAATGCAGTGAGAGCGGTTAGGAAGGAATCACAGTGCGGGCGAGGCCCTGGCCAGGCGCAGAGGGAGGAGAGCAGATCTTGGTGCGGCTGTCTTTATCTAGAATAGCCTTCTAATCCTGAAACTTTAAATCATGTTTATTGCTAGAAGATTAAGTATACTTACTAAAGCCAACTAAAAAAGCACATTTTCTAAAAGGAAGTTCGAGATAATCTCAGAGTGCAGTGAAAGACAATAAAAATTTGTGCGTAGATGAGTTTGGAAGAATTTATGTAAAAGCAATCAGATTTTTTAACTTATGAGAACCAAATAAATCTAAAGCGTAGTGTTTATAGGATTCAGAAAGAATATTTATTTAACTTTATTATGAGGCAACACATATTTTCCTGTATTTCTAAATATAGTTTTGGAAAATATCCTTAATCCTTTTTATATACTTTATATTTAAGATTTGTTTTAGTCATTTTGAAAAGACTGTTGCTGCTCTAATTAATTGTGTGCTTTACATTCTAAGCCTCAGAAAGTTTGTTTAAGAACATCAAAATCTGATCTGAGCATCTGGGATGACAAAAAGACTCAAAAACACAGTGTAGCTGTCGTTCAGCTGTGTCCCTCACTGCCTGTGACCTGAGCTCAGCGGTGCGTCTGCCTGCGTAGACAGGAAAGCTGGATTTCCAGGAGGGCCGACCCTGAGGCAGGGTGTCCAGGGCCAAGCCGCCCTCCCACAGAGCAGACCATCAGAGACCCTATTTGGGTATGAAAGTGGGACGTGGAATCCTTGTAATTCTCTGCGTGGCTTTGCCTCCGTGTTGCCAAGTGGCCAGCGGGCAGGCAGCTCCCTCTCCTGCGGTGGGTGGCCTGGGCCCCGGCTGTGCCCCACACACAGTGGTGACCCCGTGACCAGCTTTACAGCCCAGTCCTCCATCCTGGAATCTGTGCAGAGCACAGCATAGGCATCCTCTTCTGGAATGATGTTCTTACCTATTCTGCTTTTAGGAATATGTGTGAACTTATTTGTGTTCTTAATTGGTTCCAAAGATAATACTGCCATTCTGTATTCCCTCTAGAAAAAGAAGGAAAACAACAAAAACTCAAAACCAGCAGAGCTGCTATCAGATAAGTAGATGTCAATGTATAGTGATGAAAAGAAACTAAAACTGCATTGTGTTTAATTCTGTCTTTTTCTATGTAATATTTCCAAGGCAGACTTTACTACATTCCTAGAATTCAATTTGATATATACCCAGAGTCACAATGATGAGATGTTTGCTTTGCTTACTGTGGGGGAAAATTAAACATTCAATTCTGTTAAAACAGACTTCCTTCTCGGAGCTGCCGTTTTTCTGGGTGGTGCAAGCGTCCTTTCTGTTGTCACACCTAGCCTTAGGTCACTGCCTGTGTAGGTGCGTGCGAGTGGGACAGAGTGTCTAGGGTGGCTCCTCCTCCACGTGTCCTGATGTTGAGGCTGCTGCACTTACCCTGCTGGCACAGCAAGAACTCAGACGCTCTAAGGTCTGTGGGCTCTCGATGGCCCGCACGCAGCCTGTTCAGCACAGGAGTCCCCAGGGCCTTGCCCCTCAGGCTCATGTCAGACAGCTGAGGCCCAGGCCTTGCCCTGGCGTGTCGGGAGCCCCCTCTGAGGGCTGCAAGCAGCCGCAGCTGCAGGGTCCCCCAATTCAGGACCCAGGGGTGTGGTGTCTTGCTTTGCCATCCTGTTCTCGCGTGCGGCTGCATATCTCACACTGCTCCCAGTGATCTGCCCGCTCTGGCTTCCTGAGCTAGGGTCACCCTGGAGTCCACCCCAGGCCTGAACCCCCTTCTCCTCCTGCCTTGGCACCTGCCCAGTGTGGCCGTGCTTCCTCAAGCCGCTTTAACTCAGCCTAAGCCAGTTAAGTCAGCCGCTGCGTGGACGGGATCCAACAGCTACCTTGTCACCTACGCAGAGCCTCCTTAGCTGTGCATTCTCAGTGACCCTAAAACCCGTGTCAGAGGCGGGTGGGCTGGGAGTGCACCCTGAGAGCGTGTGGGAGCATGCCGCTGCTCTAGTAAAGTCCGGAGAAGGAAAAGCAGCATGAGAGTGGCCAGCCCACCCTGGGTCCCCGGAGTAGAGCATCTGCACAAGGGGTGGTTCCCCACTTTCTCGGGCCCAGTTTAAGATACAAAATAACAGGATGGCTTGGAAGACAGCCTGCAGTTTGAGTTGTAGGGAACTTTAGGGTTGGAAGCCTGACTTTCTTGCCTGGGCCAAACCTTTGTCAGTCTAGGTCTACTCTGCAGGGGTGAGGCCCTGTGGTACAGCATGGAGGTTGCTCCGTGTTTGCTCTGTGTCACACACACCAGTGCCCCTTCCCATACATGCGCAGGCTTCCCCAATGCCATCAGCGTCTGTGCATTCTCCCCCGGGGGGTGGCCTCCCCAGAATGCCTGCCCCTGCTGCTTCCTGCTGTCTCACTAAGTTGTCCAGGCTTGGCTTCAGCCCGGATCTCCTGTAGGCGGGGTGCCAGCTGCCACACCCAGTTCCAGTAAATTATAGCATCAAAATTGAGAGTATTTGGACTATAAAAATATTAAAAATATGTTTTTCAAAATCTTTCACAGATGGAAATATTTCAATTTTCTTTGCTTTTTCCTCCATGGAATACACTATTTGGTTACTAATCCAAAAATTTCTTTGCATGGGTGATACTGATTTAGATCTCCTGAATACCCTGACTTTAGGCTACTTGTAATTTAGTGTAAAACATGTTATGTGCAATTAAGTTCTGTTTAGAAAGTAACCAAACATGGCACAGGGACTCACTGGAATCTGAATTGCTGGATCTGTGATAGCTTAGTGTCTTTTAGGTTACTTTTCTTAGGTGCCACTTTAAAGGTTTCTCGGGCAAGATAAGTTGCAAACTGGAGAAGACAGAACATGCGGCCAGGCTGGGTGGGTGATGCATGTCTGTGATCCCAGCGCTTGGGCTGAGGCTGGAGAATCATCAAGGGTTCAAGGCCAGCCCGGGCTACACAGCGAGACCCTGTCTCAAAAAAGAAAAAAATGTTTAATAAACTCTGCTAAATACACATTTTTACATGAAGGGTTCTAGTGTCTTGTTTTCTCTATTCCAATCTCAAGAAAATGGAACTTAGCAGCAGGGTAACCTTCAGCGTGAAGGTGCTGTCATGCAGGAGAGGGACTGCTCCCGTAGGTGCTTCCCAGGGCTTACGGGCACTGGGCCGCACCAGCCATGTCCCTGCAAAGTGGAACCTGCTGCTCTGGGCTGCAAGACCCTCTGGCCCAGGCCTTGCGCCCGCGCTGTACCAAGTGGGGCCTGGGCAGCATGCACAACACCTCTACCCTTCGAGTTTCCTTGGTGCTTGCCACGGGCTGTCTCAGCATGGTGCTCTTGTCCCCAGGTGGTGGTCACTGTGGTGGCCACTGCATGAGATGCAGGGACACAAGGAGGCAGCCTGCGGGAAAGGAGCCATGGGGACATCCACAGGCTGCTGGCCAGCTGCTGTCCTCGCAGGGGCGCTCTGCAGCTGGCGGGGCTGTATCCTGGATCCTGAGTTCCTGGATGCAGTCAGCAGGTCCTGCTGGCTTTGTCTGCTCCGTGGCTCTTTAAAACCAGAGGGCTCATTATTGCAAATTGTTGTCTTACTTCAGTAAACTGCTATGCTGCCAGTCTTTTGGGGACAGTCACCTCACTGGGCTGGGGCCTGAAGCGGGAGGACTGGGTGCCAAGCCGATCCCCGCTCCACGATTCTCAGGGTGACCCAGGACAGTCCTCCAAGAAAGCCTTGGGCTCCCCAGCCCTCCGAACACAGGCACCCCACACTGCACTCTGCTGGTCTCTTAGCTGCGTAAGCTGTGAGCCTTTTGCCTTTTGTGTTTCTGAGACAGGGTCTTGCTATGCAGTTTAGGCTGTCCTCAAACTATGTAATTTGCAGTGATTGTCCTCTGCCTCCCAAATGCTGGGATTACAGACATGCCATTGTGATTTGCCTCATACAAGATCATTGGCACTTAGAATTCAAATGCCAGTTTAGAGGAATCTTTTTTTATTTAGTACTGGAAGTTGAATCTAGCCTTCACAGTGATCCACACCCTCTGGCCTTTTTCTTTGCTTTCAAAACTGGGTCTCATTAAGGACTGAGTTGCCCAGACTCTTGGATTTGTGATCCTCCTGCCTCGCCTCCCATAGTGTGAAATCCTTACACTGTGGAGGTAGCCGTGGCTTACCTGTGCCATAGGGTGAGGCAGGTAGCAGGTTGGGCTGAAGCCTTCGGACGCCCCGCAGGGCTTCCTGCCATACCACACACACTGAGCACTCCCAGCCCTGTGCTCCCCAGAGCTGTGCTGGTCACCTGTGGCCCATGGACACCAGGGTCACTGTCCCAAGTGTCAGGCTGTAAGTTACACAACTGCTGAGGCTTGGGTGCGGGACATCTTTCTTCTGGTAGAATAGTGCTTCACAGTGGTCTTTGTCCGTTCACCTGCTGATGGACACAGGCCGCCGTCCAGATTCAGCAACTGTGAGCGGTGCGGTCAGGGCCCCGGGGACGGTAGCCCTCTGCCAGAGGCCTGGAGCTCTTTGGGGAAATAGCTGGGTCAAACAGAATTTCTATTTTTAGGTTTTTGAGCACTGGCCACACTGATCTCAGTAGTGGCTTGTGCTAGCTTATACTCCCACTGATGAAGCAGCGGGCTCCACTCCCTGCCCACATCCTGGATTGCTTGAAGATGTCCATTCTCTCTGGAGTAAGATAGTGTCTGGACGTTGTTTTAATCTGCATTCTGCTCTCAGCAGAAGAGAGGTGTTTTCTATGCATTTGCTGGCCAGGTGTAGTTCTGAGAAACCTGCTCATTTCACTCGCTCATTCTGGACCGGGACTTTTTATTTTGCAAGGTCTTTACCGAGCTTCCCTGGGGTGGTGCTTTCTGTCCTCTCGGACCCTGCAGGTGCCCCTCCACACTGTTTCCTGTGCTGTGTGGAGCCCTTTCAATTGCATGAGGTCCCACTTGCAGATTTTCGGCCTGATTTCTAGTGCATCCATGTGGCTCAACAGCAGCACCTACCCACTCTTCTGGGCCCCTGTGCTCCTGGCCCAGCCCAGGTGAGGTCTGAGGCTGGCCAGCTCCAGGAGCAGAGTCTGCAGAGAGCTATACACGTGGCAATTTGAGAAAAGCCAGTATACCACAAGTCATTCCTCATTTTTGGCACCTTCAGAATACTCCAGAAAGCCCCTGAGCTGCTGCTTCCTTACCATCTCCCAGGTGCCTGGTGGAGGCGACATCACTGATGATTGTTATGGACACTGTTAGGGATGGAGCTGGAAACTTTAGAAGCTGCCTCTGTGCTCCAGCCCACTCTGTGACCTTTGTTCCTTGGTGCTGTCAGCACCAGGGTGGACACAGCACCTCGCAAAGGCCCAGCGGACACCTCTGCTCTGTTCTGCCCTGATGCGGTGATGGAGCTGTACCTCCAGCGCTCAGAGCCACTTTCCAGAGGAGATTGTCACAGTCACCGCCGGAAAGTGGGTGGCACAGCCTGTCCTTCCAGTAGGGAGACCTGAGCACCAGGCATGCCAGTGCACGGGAGGTGTATGCCTGCCCGCCCTCCCACATACAGCAGTAGGGACTGGGCCATCTGGTGACCCTGTGATAGGTGGGTGTCCCACGTTCAGGGCTTTCCAGAGGCTACCCTGGGTCACCTGCACAAGGAACCAAGACATGGACACAGCCAGGCATGGACTTTCATTTCCACAGAAAGACAATGATATCTTTGCGCACAGACATACATAGACTCCAACTGACTCCTCAATCTGGAATCTGGGTCTTTCCCACCTCCCCATGTGGTTGGGAATGTGGATGCCTTGATAACCACATCATTCCATGGCTGTGGCAAGCTCCCACCCTAACTGCCAGGCCCCACTTCCAACCCCACCCTGCCCCAGTGACTGCGAGGCCAGTGTCTCCTCCCATATGGTTTCACTCCATGCAAACCTGAACAGTAAGCTGCTAAGCCACAAACCAGTTCTCATTTCACAGTTAAAAAGGTTCAACGCGATAGCAACTATACAGAATATGAAGGTTTATTTCAAAAAAGATTACATTTTTAACCAGGTTACACAGATGCACTTAATGTAACAGTACCTTCTGCAAAAATAGGTTACATAATACTCAGAAATTCAAGGAACATTCTTATCTCTAAAAACCAAACAGCAGACATCTGCACTGAGCCAGCCTTCACCGTGGAGGCCGAGGTGCTTGGTGGAAGAACCCCGGAGCCCGGCACCCCTACCTTCCAGGGTATGCGGTGCTGCAGGAAAGAAAAGCTCAATGGGACACAGAACTATGAAAAATTACAACAGAACTATTTAAACGTCTTCTCTAAAATTGAGAAAAGCAATCATGTTAAATTTTTTAAAAAAGAAAATAAAAAGTCTGTGGAACTCTCGGGCACAGCGGGCAGAGGATTCTCTTCCAGCACAGTCAGAGTCCATGGGAGGTTTCAATAAATATTTCAGAAGCGGCGTGGGGGGCCACCCTTAAAGGGCTTGAAGCCGGAGCCACTTCCACGGGATAGCGAGCCGCCCCCCATGGGCACGATCCTGCTGATCGGAGAGGCGGTGCTGGAAGGATGGAAAAGACAGCAGTCAGGCGGCGCAGGGGGGAAGGAGTCGCTGTCTGCAGCCCGCCCGAGTCAGTACCTCGTGCCCCCACAGTGGGCCCAGGAACAGGGCTAGGCTGCAAGGAGCTGTAAGGTGCCACACCAAGTGACCACACAGATGGGTGGGACAGCAGACCCTGCGGGAAGAACTTGGGAGTGGACTCAGGGACATTCATAGAAACAGTGCTGCTGCAGAAGGGAGGCCAGGGAGCTGCTGGGGACAGCAGGGCACTCGACCATCTGCGGCCATGGAGCTGGTAGCCAGGAGGCAGCCCAAGATGGGTGTGTCATCCATAAGTGGCCACCACTGCAGCACCTGCCACAGCAAAGCAAGAGTGTGTACAAGGTGTATCTTGTTGGCTTTTGTGCTCTTGAGATGGGGTCGCCCAGGCTGGGCTTCAGCGTCCTGCCCTGTAAGGGCAAAAGGGACAGGTGGGTGGCAGCTAGGGTAGAACCACCAGGGCCACTGGCCCAGCACAACCCTGCAGAAACAGGAAGCAGCAGGCAGGCAGCCGACTGAGGGCTGCTCTTGGGTTGCGCACCCTCTCCTCACCCGAACACGCCCGCCCTCACCTCGAGTGCTGGCCCAGCACTGCGCCCGCCCTGCTGTCACCCAGGCGCCTGCTGTCGTGGTAGCCGGGCCCCTGGGCCGGCGGGCTGTGCCACTCCTTCCGTGGACCACCTGCATCCCGGCCGTGGCGCTCCACCATGTGCCGCTCCTCGTAGTGCTGTGGGGACAGGGCTGTCAGGCCAAGGCACAGGGCCAAGGCCTCTGCCCCCATGTCAGGGGATGGAGCTCAGGGAAGCACACTCTGGAGGGCCAGGGTCTGACACTTGCCATTGGGCTCCTAAGTCTGTTACCCAGCACTCACCTGGGCCCCACCACCTCGCTCCGAGATGACCCCTCGGTCACTATCCCTGCCGCCATAGCCTGAGGCGGTGCCGCGACCCCCAGGCGGAGCACCCCGAACACTGTGTGACACGTCCCTCGCCGAGCGCTCGGGCCTCTCCACTCTGAAAGACAGTGAAAGCCGTGACTGTGATGCCCACTTGTGCCTGCGCCCAGCCCCACAGCAGCAGCCACAGTGTACCTGGCATCCCGCTTGTCGGCGGCCAGGCCACCCTCGCCCTTCCAGGATGTGGGTCTGGATGGGCCCGGGCCAGTGTCCCGAGGGTGCCTGGGGGGCGGCAGGTCGGGCCTGTCGTGCAGAAGCACTGCCCTCCGCTCGTCCCGCTCGCCCCGCACATCTCTCCGCTCTGTGTCCCGCAGCTCGGCTCTCGGGGGTGGCTCGTTCCTTCGAGAGTCACTGAAGTTTTTGGGGTATCTCTCAAAGCTGGGGTCCTCTCTTCGTGTAGTTGGCCGAGTTTTCTTCCCTTCACTTTGACCAACAAAGCGCTCGCGCCTGGTGATGAGGTGGAGCACAGGTCCTGGGGGACTGCCTGGCCTTGCAGCGCCCCTAAAGGCCTGCAAGTGCCCTCTCCCCGCCCCTCCCTGCTGCCATCAGAGCCAAGTCTGGGGCCCTCCTCTGAGCATAGCCCTGTGTGCGCCATGCCAGGCCTTCACTTAGTGACAGTGAGCTCCTTGCTACCGGAGAAGTGAATGCAGGACCTGTCATCAGGAACACGGCAGGGCCACCAGAGGGTGACAGGCCCTATCACCACTTCCCCACACCTCCTGAGCCAGGGTCCCTTGAAGGTGCCCATGCAGGCCCAAGTCACACCGCCTCATCACTGCCCAAACCCAGCTCTGGGTCAGCATTGAAGGGGACGACCACATACATTGCAGTGACTGGCTACCAGCGGGAAGGACATTCTACTGGTTTGGTTTTGTTCTGATTTTCATACTAGGGACTAACACTGTGCCCTAACCCGAGTCACAGCTGGACACGGGTCTCACTAAGCTCCTGAGCTGCCTGGGCGAGCGAGGCTCCGCCTTCCCACCTGCTTGCCTTGCCTACCAGAACCTGTTCTCCAATCCATAGCCAGACCTCCCACTCAGGGTGGAGAAGGACACAGGTGCCCTCCTGCCCAGGTTCACAGCCAGTCACAAGCATCGCCAGGGCCCAGTAGCCCACTCACCGATCGAAAGAGGACGAAGGCACAGCTGCACCATCAGGGAAGCGGCCCCGCTCACGGTGGTCAAAGTCGTGGAACCTGTTCTGCTGCCGTGAGTAGTCGGAGCTGTGGCCAAAGCGGGCATCTGTGTCCAGGGACAGCTTCTTACTCTCGCTCCAGTAAGGCTCATCGCGCCTGCAAGGCAAACTTGAACTCAGTCACAACAGTGACTGTCATGGGAAGCCACAGCCCGCACTCATGGAGTCACACGCTGCCCACGCTACAGTACAAACCCCAGGGGTGACCACAGACAGATGGCACAGCCAGCTAGTGGTGCAGCTAGCAGGGCACAGACAGCCACCTCACACGGCTCCTACCATATGACAGCTGACAGGGGAGGGGCTGTCAACCCCCCATACCCCATCATGAGGTGGAAAGGCCAAGCGTCCCTGAGCCCTGCACCAGTCCCCACCTCCTCCCCTCTCCACACAGGCAGCAAGGCTCCTGGTCCACACTGAGAAAAGTAAGCCACCGGGAACACGTTCCAAGCCCTCTAAATGACACACTTGTGTGTAGACACACGCGCGCACACGGGAACGCGCACTGCGTCCTTCGGGTCTGTGGCCTCCCTGCGCAGCACCACGCAGCCCTGCAAACGCTGCAGGCAGGAGGCCCAGCTGGTTTCCGACCATGGCAGGGAGCAAAGCCAGAGAGACACCCACCCACCCCCACCCCCCCGCCCGGGCTCTGCGCCAGCCCACCCAGTGCGGCAGTGGACACCAGGGAGCTGCTCGGCCTCCCTGCAGCCCACCTGCGGAAGCCGCTACCTGTGGTCCACGTCCCGCGGCCGCTTCAGAGAGTTCCTCTTCTCCTGCTCATAACGCAGCTGCTGCTGCTGCCGCCGCAACTCCTCACGCTCCCGGGCAATCCTCTCCGCCTCCTTCCGCCGCTCCTTCACATGGAACCACCGAGCACCGCAAAAGGAAGGTGACGGGTGAGCGCCAGTGCAGCCGGTGCCGCGCCAGACACAGGGAAGCAGCGGCAGGGGCTGGGCGGTGAGAGCTGCGGAGCGGGAGGCTGGAGGCCTGGCTCACGCAGTATTCAAGGAGAACCGGCCACCGAGTCCTAACAGCTGCTGGACTCAAGGTGGCGCGGCCCAGGGCTGCCTGCGAGGAGCAGACTCCCCTCCGCCTTGGACGCCCCCACCTCACAGGACCGAGGCTATGACAGCTGGGGGCGGCGCTCAGGGCTGACTGCAGAGCGGGGTCCCCACAGGGCCAGCGAGTGCCCTCTGATGGACACTGAGAAGCGCCTGAGCTGGACTTGTGTCCAGCAGCTATACAAAGAGCAAAGCCCCTGGGGCGAATCCCGGGTGCGGAGGAGGGAGTGGCTGGGGGAAGGACGGCTCACGGCACCTGTTCAATGCGAATGCGCTCCCTTTCCAAGCGTTCTCGTTCCATCCTCTCTCTCTCTAGTTTCTGCCTTTCAATCTCTAGGCGCTCTCTCTCTCTCTGTAAGCGCTCCCGTTCTTCCCGTTCACGGATTATTCTAAATCGTTCTCGCTCTCGACGCTCTCTTTCTGCAATCTCTCTTCGTCTAACAAAAATCAGTATTTAGAAATACTTAAATTATGCTAGCACTGTGTGAAAGAGAAGAGCGTTTGAATTTGAATTACTCCTTGAGGTCAGCAATTTTCAACTTTAACTTAATCTCTACAGTTTTAATTGGAAAGAGAATTCAAAATAAAACTTGAAACAGATTCCAACACTGTCACTTTGTGTAAGACTACCACCTGAGCAGCTAAATCCTTACAGATGATTCCTGTTCAAACAAATGCCACTGTGATTGTCCCTCACTGACATTTGAAGGAGAAATGCAGTCTGAACACACAAGTTGATAGAGCTACACTTTCCCACCCACAGTCCACTTTACGCTGACGGTCTGGGAAACCGACCCTAGTAAGTACTAGAGATGCTACACAGAGCAACACCTGGAAAGGCTCTTTCAGAGCGCCTGGCTCTGGCCCATGGTTTCCAAATTGCAGGTACTTCAGACACTTGCTGAACTGAATGATGCTCTTTAGCCTTTTCATCCTGTCTTTGTTTCCCGAGTCTCAAGGCAGGCAGGGTACTTTTTTGCCCACCAACATCTCCTCTACTATCCTAGAGGTTCTTGATTGGTCACTTTTACTTCCATGGAAACTGCCGTGGTATTTCAATTATAAAAACAAGGCCAAGAGCTGCCACACAGAAGGTGAGGATGCCTGCTGAGTGGCGCACGCTATAATCTCAGCACTCAGTAGGCTGAGGCAGGAGGATCACTGTGAATTCAAGGCCAGCCAGAGCTACAGAGTGAGTTCAAGGACAGCCTGAACTGCATAGTAAAACGCTGTATCAGATAGAACAAGGAAAAAAAAAAAAAACCATGAAGCTGTTACTGGTGTTTTGTGGCTAGGGACCAAGGACTCTTAAATAACTCACGAAGCAACAATTTTCCTAACAGTTGCACACAATAAAAATTATGCAATTCCTCCTATTTTTAATATGTCACAGTGGACATTCATATTATTAAGAACAACAGAAAAAAAAATCTTAAAAAAAACACTAAGCCCTAGAACTTAACTCCATCCTAAAAAAAATGCTGTTCTTGCCTAGTATGGTGGTTACACACTTATAATCCCAGTTACTTGATTGGCAGAGGCAGGACAAATTCAAGGATAACCCAGTGAGTCTATCAAAAAAAAAAAAAAAAAAAAAGTGTGCCCCTCCTCAAGACTGGGTTCAAACCCATTAACAACAAAAAGGCGTGTATTTCAAAGCGAGACTTGTTTGCTTTGAAAAGGGTGCTTAGCACTTAAAAAAACGCATCATGGTATCAACACCACGATGCCTGGTATCTGACTTGCCAGTGTAATGCAGCAGGGTCAGTCTGTGTTTGTAGCTTTCACACTCAGGAATCTAACAGGGCACAAACACCTGCCTACTTCACTGCATCCTCTGAAGGTGAAACCTTGCCCACACATTCACCCCTGGAGCATGCACTTTATGATACACTCCTTTTACCTCTTGATACTACAGTTACGTCACAGGAGTTTTCCTGGAAATTCTCTACACAAGTGTGCTACACATCAACTGCACTGTGGCAGAGTGAAAAGGGCATTGCCTTATTTAAAGGCCAGCAGAAGGTAAAACAACACAGAGAAAGCCAGAGCAACAGGCTAGATGCAGTGGCGCTGGCCTGTGGCCCAGCTGCTTGGCAGGCAGATGCTAAGGCGCCCATCAGCCTGGAGTGGAGGGCCAGGCCTCGCAGGACCACAGTGGGGTCCGAGCTCCTATGCAATCAGATCAGCGAGGCCCTGGTCTGACAGCTCTGGGGATCCAAGCTGCAGGCATGGCACAGCCCCACGGCCCTCCAACCCACTGCGAATTATATGCAGGGCTCAGCACCTAGGGCTGTATCTAAAAAGGTGGGGTATGGGCTCTGAGAAGGGTTACTTCCTTTCCCCAAAGCTGTATGATAATCACTGTTTTACCTCAGTTGCTAAAAATCTCTCTTTGGTAGAGTTTCTTGAAATTTTGCAAGTGAACAAGATGGCTAACGTCTAGAAATATGTAATATAAAACATTCACAAGGGTATTTCACGTGACATCCAACAACTGATACATATGAAAGTAAAATGCAACTCATGATCACGTTAAGATTCTGTCATAAAAAACCGATATTCTGTATTTTTCTAGTTTTCTTTTTAGCCTGCTTTCAGAAAATGTTTGCTTGGGGCTAGAGTTTGAATAAAGGAAGCTTGCAAAAGCAAATTTTCCTTCACTTGGGCACTGATTCAAAGAACAATGTATTTTTTGGCTAATTTGTTAAAATTTCAACATAGGATCTGAACACTGCGGCTTACTTTAAACTACCTCGAATGCAGGTTTTCCATTAAGGTCACATTTGGATGGCAGCAGCTCTGGAGCAGAGGAAAGGGCACTGGATTTGGAGCCCGAAGTCTGGATCGGAGTCCGCCTCTGCCACTCCCTGGCCTGTGGCACTGGAAGAGACCTCCAGACTCTGCGGGCCTCTGCAGGCCTCCGAGCCCCACAATGAACTCGGCAACCTCCCCAACCGCGGGGGGGAGGGAGCTAACAGAGCAAAGGCGCTTGGTTAACATGTCAAGGGCTACGGGGTCTTCAAGTATTAGATGGCACCACACCATCCAAAGTGGCCAACCATCTCCATGGGACGCACTTCCTAAAAAGCTGGCTGACAGTCTTACACCAGGTCTGATTTCCAAGGCAGTGACAAAGCAAGCGCTCTTCCTACCTTCGAAGTTCCACTGCTCGCCGTAGCCTTTCAAAACGAACTAAGTGTTCTCTCAATCTCTGTTCCTTCATCTTTTCAAAAGGCAAGATCTCCTTCCGCCTATAGTCTTTGTCCCTCTTTTTATCTAGGCTGGCTCTCTCCTTCTCCTTGCTTCTTCCATGAATCTAAGGGGGGAAAAGTGTAAGAAAAGCAGAAGCAAATTCAGAGCCTTATTCTTCAGGTTTAGCAGGTCACCTGAGATAATCAAGTGACGTGCTGCATTCTCCTCCTTGTTTTCCAGCATGAAAGAAGGGTGACAGAGATCACAGAACCGTATTTTGCAAAACAGTACTTAACATCCTCAAGACTCACTTTCTCGTGTCTTCCTCTTCTTGATGGCCTGCAATGATCTCCCTTAGTTTGGTCTAATATTACCATATGTCCTGGACTCTTTGAACCTAAGAGGAGGGGAAAAAAAAATATGTATGTACACACACACACAGACACACACACACACACACACACACACACACACGAATCAGTGTCTAAAAAAATATTTTGGTGAAAAATATCGTAAGTACATAAAAACACTGAATTCTTAAATGAGTCCAACTTGCTAACATAAGTATTTTCACCAAGTGCCAAAAGGTCCTCACTCAAATCAAGGACCACTATAAGTCAGCTCGTAATCATCTGCCAGCTCCGCGCCCAAGTCAGCTGGGATCTAACATTGAAGGAGCCTCTAAAAGGGCACATTTGCCTCTCAGGGGGGAAAGGAGCAGACAGGGAGCCCCCCAGCACCCCCCGCAGGCCGCAGTCATGGGATCGTCACTCCAGGGCCCCTGAGCAGGACAAGGCAGCCGCAGCACGGGGCCAGGGGCAGGGGCTGGGGCTGCCATGAAAGGCACAGCATACTTATTCGCTTCTTTTCTTCACTTTTCTTCGTCAGCTCTGAGGTCTGGCCGCTCGTTCCATTGTCACTCTTCTCTTCTTTACTTTCCATTTTCTTACTATCCTTGCTCTCTTTCTTCTCAGATTTTTCCGATAGCCTTTTCTCTTCTTTCTTGACAGAGGTTTGCGTTCTGACCGTATCAGCCCAGACAAGAAAACAGACTGAGAACCACTTCATCAGGACACCAGAAAGCTTCACACGTTTACTTAAAAACATTCTCCTCGCAACCTCCCAAAATGAAAATCAGTCCTTACTTTCCACTTCTATCACTTGCATTCTTTTTATCTCCAGAACTTCTTGAGCTACTCTTTTCATCGTTTTCTTTCTTCATTTCTTTCTTAGAAGGATCACCCTTTACCTACAGGGGTTAAACCAGGAAAACACCCTGTAAAATTTAAAGGTATGGCTCAGCAGCACAACACTTGCCTGGCAAGCTCGAGGTCATGAGTTTAATTCTTGGTACCAAAAAAATAAATAAAATGAAGTGGTTTTTTCTATGATTATAGAAAGTGGGCTGATCAGGGCTGGGGATTTAGCTCAGCGGCATAAGTGCCTGCCTTGCAAGCAGGCAGTCGTGAGTTCGATCCCTGGTACCGATAAAAAGGAAAAAGACCAAAAAAAAAAAAAAAAAAAAAAAAAAGTGGGCTAATGCCAGTAAACTTGGTAAAGAAAAAATTAGGGAAATAAATTTAAAAACGAATACATAAAAATAAAACCACTCTCAGTTCTACTTCCTGCGCATGTTAGCTTTAAATTGAATTATAGGTTAAGTATTTTTTATCTGAAATGACTGGGGTAGGGTGGGTTTCAAGTTTTGGAATATTCCCACAGACCTCACTAGATGGGTGCTCTTAATTTGAAAATGTAAAATTCAAAATGTTTCAAAGTTCGAAACTTTTTGAACACTACACACTCAAAAAGTTTCAGATTTTAGCTGGGCATAGTGGCACGTGTCTGTAATCTCAGCACCCAGGAGGCTGAGGCAGGAGGATGACTAGGAGACAGCATAGCCTGGGTTTTAAGGAGAATTCAAGGCCAATAAAAACACTGGAAGATCCTGTCTCCGAAACAGAAAGTTCCACATTTTGGTCAGGTGTGGGATGCACACCTATAAGCCCAATACCTGAGGGGCTGATGCAGGCAAACTGCTGAGGCTGAGGCTGAGGCTGAGGCCGGCCTGGACTGCACAGGGAGACCCAGATCTCCAAAACACCAAAAACTGTTTCTGATCTTAGATTCTCCGATTAGGGGAATGTGGCCTGTATCAGCCATCACATCAGCCCCCCTCGTAGATGGGAAAACAAGCTCACTTTCTCCACGGAAATCAGCTGTCCATGCAGCTCAGTGTGATGGAGGTGGGCTATGCATCTGGACACCTCTGTGCTGGAAGACATCGTGACAATGCCATAGCACTTCGCCCCAGGGCTCCGAGCATTTGTAACTACCTTTGCACTCAGCACCTATGAAAATGAGAACACACTTTTAGAAAGTTTGCCAGCTGTACAACTGCGCACACTTGTCAACAGATGGAACTTCAGAACTGACACTACTGAAAACCAAAACAGGACACTCTAGCTTTATTATTTTGTTTCACATTCTTGTAATCATCATTTACCTGGTCAATATGAACTAAGTTAAGTATGCAAAGTAGTAATCTAACATATCAAAAAACAATTTAGGCTAGGTGTGATGGTACACGCCTGTAATCCCAGAACTCAGGATGCTGAGGCAAGAGGACTGCTGTGAGTTTTAGACCAGCTGGGCTATACAGAGAGTTCCAAACCAGCCTGCACTACAAAGTGAGACCCTATCTTTAAAAAATTACACAGACACACACAGACACTGAAAAGCACACCACAGAAGTGGAAAGCCAACTTCCTGTTTAATGCTTTCAAAATTTTTTCATCAACACAGAAGTAACAGAGACTTTCAGCTCCCGAGGATGGATGGATAGAGACAAGCAGGCATGCGTGTGAGAGGAGGAAAGTAGGAGCAACAGGCAGTGCTGAGCAAAGACGCAGGTAGACAGGGGCGGACTGAGACCCTCGGGCTCTAGTTACAGTGTGCCTGATAGCCAGTTTTGCCTCCACTCTGGGAAGGCTGATCTGACCCACAGCAATGTAAGTTTTAAGCCCAGTACCTCACTGCCAATTTTAGACCTAACAAACACCAACATTAAATCTTGTTTTAGTATTTTTTAACTACTAAAAATAAAAAAAGATATGCCACAGCTGATTATGGGCCTACAATTCTCAGTGTTCCAAATCTGACACAAGAATTTACAAGAGCTTACTGGAGTATTCATTTTAGTTAGTTAATTAATTAATTAATTAATTTATTTATTTATTTTTTGAGGGGAGGGGCAGAGGGATGAGGGAGGGGAAGGAAGGGAGGGAAACAGGGAGGCAGAGGAGAGGGAGGAGTGAGTGAGGAAGCAAGGAACTGACTGAGGGAGGCTCTAGAAGGAAGGTAGAGAGGAAGGCAGGGATCTCATTTTAGTTTTTTAGAGCTATCCTATGAAGTACAAAGTATTGAGAATCCCAATCCAGACCAACTACAGGTGAAGAAAACAGTTCTCTGAAGAATGTTTTACTCCTCCTCCTTTTTTAGGTCTTCATGTAAATGCCAGAGAAATTTTCCCTGGTAAGTGAGTCACAGTAAAGTCTTTTCTTTCCTCTCATTAACACTTGACATTCTTTCTTCATTGCATTCAGGACTGATTCGCGCACACACACACATACACACCCAGCCTTATATACTTGAACACTTTTCTCTATCAGTGGAATGGAATCGCTGTAACAGGGAACAGTTTATCCCCAACAATTTACATGTACTATTGCCTAAACCAGCCTGCTGTATTTTCTTTTTCTTTTCTTTTGTCTTTTTCGTTTTTATCGGTACCAGGGATCGAACTCACAACTGCCTGCTTCCAAGGCAAGCGCTTATGCCGCTGAGCTAAATCCCCAGCCCCGCCTGCTGTATTTTCAAAGGACTAGATCAACCTCAGGTATATGTCAAGTCTCATGCCTGCTACTAGGGAAAAAAACAGTATGAAAGGAAATCCTTGACTAAAAGAGGTTGAAGTCTGAATACAAAGATGCCAGGATCCAGCATGAGAGGAAGCAGGAAGCAGCATCCGGCTTTAGCCCTATTCCTCACCTACTATCCTCCAGGAACTTAATAACTACCCTCCAACACGCCTGATGGACACCCACAGTGATCCTCCTTCCACAATACTGTTTTCAACTAACCTGATTCAAACACAGACATCAGAAAGATGCATATAAAAGTGAAAAGAACATACCTTCCCATATTTGCCAAAGAGGTTCTTCAAGTCAGCCGCTTTGGTATTAGAAGAAAGTCCACTGACCCAGATATTTTTAGTTGAGCTTCCACTGCCACCACTAGTACTACCTGTGCTTCCTGGAACAGATGTAGTATCAGACAGGTCAGTAACTTAGAAAGTTTTTTGCAAAATTAAGAGGACAGTCTTCTTTCAAACTATAAAATCTTTTCAATTTTGATAAAAGGATCTTACTATATTTGAAATCTTATGAGTATGCTATCACAATCAAAAAATAACAATGTGATTACTGAGGAAATGTATGAGTTTATATACTTCCAACTGCATGAGTTGTAAGAGGGTGCTTTGCTATTCTTTAGGACATTCATCAAATGATCTGCTCTATCTTACAAAATGTTAACTAGATGTCTGTGTAACTTTTTGTATTTTTAGTAACATTTGCACCCAGGTACTTACCTAATTACAAAAAAGAGACAGTTTGAATGACAGGAAAAAGCACTATTCAACCAAATGTACTAAACTTCCAAATTTAAATGGTACAATTTTATAAGCCTCTTGTATCTTACTCATTAACCCAAACCAGAAGGAGTGTGGCTATCATAATGGCTAATCACAACACCAGGTCACTATCCTTCCCGAACAGTGAGATGTAAGCCCACTAAAACCAGAGAGGATGCACACATTCTCCTTTAAACATCCATGAGGTGGATGCAACTATGGCACAGCACCTGTCTGGCAAGCAAGCGCAAGATCCTGAGCTTAATTCTCAGTATCAGAGAGGGAGGGGAGGAAGTGGGGGAGAAGGGAGAGAGAAAGGGAGGGAGGGAGAGAGAAAGAGGGAGAGGGCGAGGGCAAGGGGAAGAGAGAGGGAGAGAGAGAGACCAAGTTTTAGGACTTTATAGTACCTGAATGGTACTATAAAATGTTTTCTTACAAAACAGTTTCTTCCAAACTTGGTTTATTACATCATTCATAGGCATGAAATAACCAGAGATTTTCCCAATAGCAAAAGTAATCACATATAGCCATCATGAAACTTGCAAGCATTTAAAATAATTTTCCTACATAAGATAACCATCCATTCCAAATTAGGAATTCAAAGCAGAAAGTAAATTCTTATGCATTAAAATATTGCTTACTGGGTTTATTAACAGAATAAGCTGATTTAAAGAATGATTAAAGTAAAACCAAAGTCTAGGAGACTGGTTTTCTTTCTAACACTAGACCCACAAATGTACCCAAATACTGCTTATTATACACCTCTCCTCCTTGACAGAACAGGGCAGGGAAGCAAAGGAGGTCATGTCCAGAGGCTGCAGACTACTCCAACTGAACATGTTTCTGAAACTGTAATGTAAGAAAATTAAGTATCTACCAATATCTGATAAAGCTGCTTAGTACAAACAGGTAAATTTCTCTAGTAAATGGGGTTTAAAATATTTATCCCAGTTTACAAAGCAAAGGGTAATGATGCAATCACAGTTTGCTGCAATCTAATGACACAGCAAACAAAAGTCATCTGTACACTTTCAGTTAATGAAACTTTTAGGACCAAACGTCCAGGTAATCAGTCAGTTACTCCTTCTAGCAACAACAAGCAAAGTAATCACTGAAATAAACAGGAAAAGCATCCATTACCTTTGTCATCTTTAGATGATGTCTTGCTGTCTTTAGATTCCTTTGAAGAGCTAAAGAGGTAAATCACCAGAAGAAAATTGAAAACAAAAAACACCAAACAGCTTGATACCGACTATACTGCAAAGTAGTACTATGAATGCAAATCAACAATTCCAAAAGCCCAGATTAGGTTATTTGACCAAGTGGTTCCCTGAGGATTCTTGCACTGATAGTTTCCCCAAGACGCCTGAAGATCTAGATTTTCTGACAATTCTATTCAGTAGATATATGGCCATCTTCTCCAGATTTCAGGACTGGGACTTGCTTCATTTTGTGTTCTTAGAACCGATAGTTGCTCATTAACCATCGCAAGGATTTTTAAAAATAAAACACAAAAAATTGTCAATTGGAAAAAAAAAAAAACCAAAAAAACCAAAAACCAAAAAAACAAACAAACAAAAAAAACAAAACCCAAAAAACAAAAAAGAGAAACAAATACACGCTGATAATTTTGACAAAGCAATCAGTAGGACACACTGCATATCATGAAGATCTTCAATTTTTTTTAAATGTAACTTATGACGTTCAAAAACATTACAGGCAGGATCATAAGACACTAATTACTGCACATGGTCTTGAAGCCACCCCCTTAATGTAGAGTGATCTTATTGAATGCTGGAATTCAGTATCGTAAAGAACTGACATAGAAAAACAAACCTCTTTGCTTGACCAGAGGCCCCAGTAGATGAGGGCCCTTTCTTCAAAGTTTCCTTTTCTTTGTCTCCAGATTCTGCTTTCTTAGAACCTTCTCTGGCTTCCTTCTCGACAGGATCGCCCTTCGCGCCGTCTTCCTTCTTACCATCTTTATGGTTCACATTCATCTCATAATCCTTGGTTTCCTTCTCAGGGCTCTGTACAACGGCGTCCTGCCCATCTTTTGGCTTACTTGCTTCAGAATCTGTAATTTTCACATTTTTACCTGTTTCTAGGAGGTCATCACCATCAAAATCCAGAGTGATGGCATCTTCAGCCTGGATTGTGACCGAGATGTTGTCATCCTCAGCTTCTTTCCCAGTCGCATTAGCTTCCATCTCTTCGGGAGCTGTGTGGCCAGCTTCAGCTAGGCTCCCTTCTGAAGGAAGAGGTTTAGATACTTCTTGTGTACCATCACCAGAACCTGCTATAGCTAAGAGGGTTTAACAGGAATAAATATGGCAAAACAAGAAGTTTAAACAATTTCATACTCATAAGCTAGAATAGGACCTAGAAAATATAAAGCCAGTTATTAGCACTGATGGAAGGTTAGGGGAAACACAAGGGTATTAACTATCATAAACAATCCTTAACCCAGGATCACTTATTCTTCATGGGAAATGATCTCTACATACAAACACCAAACAACAATACTGAGCAAAGAGTTCTGTCCAGAATCTACCAGCTCTTCATCTCTGGCCATGAGTGAGTGGCACAGGACGACTTTGATCCTCCATAGTGTGCAGATTTGTTGTGCAATGTTGGCAGCGTCCTGGGTTTAACCCTGTGGCCTTCAGAGCTCCCACAGTGACCTCCTAAGACCGCCGGCTGAGGATTCCACCAGGCTTCACGGCTTCTGGGGACCATCTTTTTCACTCTTCTACTCCAGGAAGTCCAGAAAGTGTGGCAAACTGCTACACAAGGCTCTGGAGGGGCTCCTGCTCCACAGCGTCCATGAAACCGCTCATTTCCAGTCTTCGTCCTAGCCAGCCAGTCTGCAGTCACCGTTTTCAAAGGCGTTTTGCGTTCCCACAACACCGCGAGGTCGCCGGTGCGGAGAGGTGTGCTCAGCAGCTGCGTGGCACTCGTCACCAGGGCTGGGCTGCTCCATGTCATCTGAAGTCCTGAGTGGGATTCCGGGACTTCTGTCCAAGATGCAGCCTCATGCTGACCATACGAGTTGCTAACTGTCCTTGTAACTGTCAGATGAGCGAGCTCTCAAACCACCACGTGGCAGCACCTGGGTGGTGGCTCCTGGGTGGCAGCGCACTAAGCACAGCCGAGTGCACTGAGCGCGAGTTACTGCAGTGTCTGCGCTGCAGCTGCCACCACTTACCGTGTGAAACAGAGTTCACCACAGTGACCACCACGGGCTGTTCAGGTGGAGTGTTTGTGTTCAAAAGGAAATCAAATCAATTGAAAACAAACCAAGATGCTAACTTAATTCATTAAATTGATAAATTTGAAAAATGAACTTATTTAAAAATAAGATTTCAAATGAGTGCTTTATTTTCACATGATTTATTTTAAGTCAGCAATTTCTACGCTCTACTTAGCATCAAACATACCTTTCTCATTTTCCTCTTCCTCACCATCCTGAAATTCAAAGAATAATCCAATGTAAAATAAATGTGCATAAAATTAAACTTTACTAATGTCACTAAGCCCATGAATTTAAACTAGTGAGTTAATAATATATTTAGGACACCTATCATTCTAAGAAATTTAAGACATTCTAAGAAAATTAAGAGATACAGCACAAGCCTGGTGAAACACTACAGAAAACAGGCAAAGGTGTCGATGACTACAGCAACAAACAAGGAGTTTCACTACTCAAAACTAGTTCACAGAATTGAAATCCTACCCAAACCAAAGCTGCCAACAGAAGGACTGACCTGTTATTTTACATCACTCAGTTCACAAGTACCCTTTAGCATACATTACTCAGAAAAACATCAGGAGAGTATTACCTGCAGACATAAACCTCCAAGAGTCTAAACGAACATGAGAGAAACAGCATAGCGGGATGCAGCGGTACAGGCCTCTAATCCCAGCACTTGGGAGGCTGGGTAGAAAGATCACCTCGAGGAGTTTGAGGCCAGCCTGAGCAACAGAGAGAGACCCTGACTCAAAAGACCAAAACAAAAACAACACAACAGGCCAGGGGTTTAGCTCAGCAGCACAAGCGCCTGCCTGGCTAGCATGAGATCGTGAGTTCAATCCACGGTACCAACAAAATAAAACAAAACAAAAAACCACCCCAACAAATCTTGCTTCTTAATTAAGCATGGCAGAGAGAACAATGACTACTACAACAATCAATTTCAAAATATTCAAATCATTTTTTATTTTGAGGCAGCATCTTGCCGGTCTTGAACTATGTAGTCCAGGCTAGGCTTGAACTCATAGCGATCTTCCTGCCTAAGCCTCCCACGTGCTGGGATTACAGGTATGCAGCACCATGCCCAGCTAAATTACTTATTCTTTTTATATCTGTTCAAAATGAACCCACAGTTAGCCCACGCACACTGCTGACTACCCAATTTAGAAATACTATTTGTACTGCACGAAAAACAAGAAAAACAGTCAAGTATAAATGACTTGAATTTTTAAATATTTGGTATTTTCACTTAAAAATATGCTAGGTTGGAAACAGGAGTACCACAAAGGGAAAAACTTTTTTTTTTTTTTGTATCATGAAAATACTTCCCTGGTACCGATAGAAAAAGGAAAAAGATTAAAAAAAAAAAAAAAAAAAAAAGTTCCGGGAGAACATGGCGGACAGATAACAGCAACTACCGGAGGCTCTCTGAAAACTAGGCTCAGAAGCCAGGTATGGTGCGGACTAAAGAGACATAAGCAGGTGGAGTTATGCTCTGCTGACTCAGGAACGAACTCGGCTGAGAGAAACCAACTTGGAATGCAGTCCTGGTGCTAAAACAGGAACAGAAAAGCCTCGCTGCTGAGGCTGGACCCCACGCCACTGGAAGCTGCGATTTGGGTTTCCCACCGCGCGGTGGCTGGCTGCCTCTACATCGGCTCGGCAAGGAGAGAGATGCACGGAAACTCTGAGAACGGGAGTCTGCGAACGGAGTCGAAAACAGGACGGGCAGGGAGGCATGTTCTGACTTGTGGCGAGGTGAGTGAGAGAAACTGACACTCCACCACAGTTTGACTCCAGCGGACTTTCTGGGCCCGGGGCAGTCCTGCGGGAGCAGGGCGCAGTGGCGACTCCAGCCACACATTCCCCTCTCGGGCGGGATTGGTGAAAAGTGCCTGGCCTGCGTGACGCTGCCGGCGGACCCCGTAGGCTGGCCCAACCCAGATCCCAGAGCCCGACGGAGGCCGGGAGGGGCGGGCCCCACGTAGGCTGCCTGGTGTGCAGCGGTGAGTGGGAACACCTAACCGGCGCAATTCGATCAGGCTGTGGCTGACAGGGAGAGAAGTTGGGCCTCTCATATAAGCTTGCATATATAAGGAACAGAGAATATGGGAAGAGGCAGCAACAAGAAAGGCTCCTCGGCCCCCAATTCTGAGAAACAGGCAATAGCAGACACCGCACCATTACACATAAGGCGCCATATAGAGAGCCTCATAGACCAATTCAGGAATGAAGTTATCAACAACCTGAAGCTAGAAGTATGCAAAATAGTTAGAGAAATGCTAAGCACCACCCAAGAAAAAACAGATGGTGGAATGGAAGAACAAAAAAAGAGGGGAGAATTGTTTGATGGAGAAAACAGGGAAAGCATAGAATACGTGAAGCAGGTTCAAAGGGACTACCAAGAAACTAAGAAGTCTATCAAAGACTGGCATAACAGCTTGAAAGAAACTAAGGACAGACTATCTGAACTGGAGGGCAGAATTGTAATATGGGAGAATGAAATGAAAAACTTCTTAAAAATAACAAAGAAACAAACAGCAATAATACAAAGACAAGAAGATGATAAGAGGAGCCATAACTTAAGGATTAAGAACATAAAAGAAGAAGTAGGGACACAAACAAATGAACTACAAAAGCTACTCACAGAAATAATCCAGGAGAATTTTCCTAATTTAGCAAAAGGTAAAGATACTCAGATGTATGAGGCATACAGGACCCCAGCTACCTACAACCCAAACAGAGCAACACCCAGGCATATAATAATAAAAATTCCAGAAATTCAATACAAGAACAGAATATTAAAAGCCTTCAGAGACAAAAAACAGACCACTTACAAGGGAGCACCCATCAGAATTACAGCAGATTTCTCTGCACAAACCATCAAATCACGAAGAGCGTGGGGGGAAATAATTCAAGCTTTGAAAGAAAATAATCTCCAGCCAAGATTGAGATATCCTGCACAACTGTCCCTGGAAATTGATGGAAAAACAAGGTGCTTCCAGGATAAAGAGGAACTGGGGGAATTTGCAACCACCAATTCAACTCTACAGAGAGTATTGCAGGATATTCTAAAAAAAGAAAAATACAAAGAACCCAGAAATAGTGGCGGGGAGGCCACAACGAATGGAGCAGAGAACAAAGTGAAGAAGACAAACTGACAGCTACTGACAAAATAAGAGCTCAACAGAAATGAGGCAGAGAAGATTGGATGATAGGAACAGCTATTTTGGAGAAAATGACATCTTAATAGGTAATACTGATTTAGTATCATCTTGTTTTGAAGTCTCATCTAGCTTTTGTCCTTCTGTCTCCAATGGTCCAAATAGGTTGTATCTTACTGGATTTTATTATGTACGATAGTATAAGCAAAAACCTTTTAAAGACAAGGAGATTATACAGAAACCATTGTTCATTTTCCGTTAGTCGATTCTAAATACTCTGTAATGCTGTCATTCTCTTAAATGGTTTTACATTGTTTTGATATACTTAATGCTACAGTATACGAAGTTGTACTCAAGGATTTCAAGGAAAGAGATAATATGGTAACTACTTTTAGGTCAGGATTATCTGGTGGTGAAACACTATTCTGCTTAAATGGTTATGTTTTGATCTGTGCTGTTTCGTTGTTATGCCCTCTTTTATCTCAATCTCCACTCCATTATTTACTTTTTTATCCTTTTAATTAAAGGGAAAAAATAGCAGGATATATTATAGTAACCCACTTTGACTTTCCATTACCTCGATTTAAAGCCCTGTATTACTCTCACCATCTGGTTTTTAACTGATGTTCCCCTATTCTGTTTTGCTGGATAGTATCAGGTTCGAAAATTTAGGCATCAGCTGTGAAGATAATGAGATTCATTATAACGCCCATTCTCGTTGACTTTTATCTATTTTTGAAGACCTACAATGTCTCCAATGTTTTGGTTTTGTCGGTTTTATTCTTTACTGTTTTGTTCAATTGTATTGTAACTAACGATATAGGCAATTCTATTAGAGATAGCGGGAGGCATTATGGTAACCATTGTTGATCACCTTGTATTATGTTTTCACATTATGTATTATGTCCACCCTTTTGACTTGACCGATTCTGTTCTGTTATGTCACATTTGGTTTTACTCTCTTCCAAAAAAGTAATAAGAACCATGGGAGCAATGAAACCCAAAATGTGTAATAGTCATTGTACAAAAGAGAGGAAAAGAAAGTACTCTATACTATATAACTGCATGTATATTTAAGTGTATAAGATAGAAAATGATATCACAGAGTATTATTGGATCATTGAACAGAACTGTTTGCAGTATCATTGATGGAATGTCCACTTTACAAGCTTTAATTTTGTGACTTGAACAATTATTTCTAAGATGACAATATGTAATCCATTAACTAGTGATTTCCCACTGTTCATTTTTTTTTCTGCAAATCTGTATAACTTGTACCCTTTCTCTGCTTTTTTTTTCTTTTCTCTTTAAATAAAATTAAAAAAAAAAAAAGATTTTGAACAGGGAAAAAAAAAAAAAATCACACTATCATGCAACTATGTTCTGATATGAGATTCCCAATTTCCCAAATGACACCATAAAAAAATAAAGCAATATGCACTACCATCTTAAACAAGAAAGATTTACAGAATGCTTCAGTTTTTCTTTTTTGGTGGTACTGGTGGCTCAATCAAGGGCAGGCACGTGAACAAGTACTGTGCCACTAAAGCACATGCTCAGCTCTTTTAAATTTTTAAAAAGCTTTATTTTTTTAAACCTATGTGATTCAGACTGTACTGACCTGAACTACATTGCCCAGGCTGGCCTTAAACTTTCGTCAATCATCCTGCGTCAGCCTCCAGAAAGCTGGGACAGGTATGCACCACTACACTAGCAGGGCATGTTTAGTTCTTAATTGGAATTTTCAAATAAAATCTGAGCTAGGCAGGGTCCATCCCTATAACGCCAACACTCAGGAATGCTGAAGCAGGGCATCACAAGTTCAAGGCCAGCCTGGGCTCATGTAAAGACCCTGTCTCACAAAACCAAAAGAGTAAAAAAATAAAAAGCTGAGTCGCAGCAGTTTTAGGTAGGCAGCGTGAAGTATTTCCCACAAAGCTGTAAAGCAGGGTCACCGGAGCCCACTGAGGGCTTGCTAGGGCTGGGCCCACCTACTGCCCATCAGCATGGGGCTGAAATGTCTCTGGCCAGCAGCCAGGGCTGCACTGGCA